TATATATATACTCACATATACACACACACAGACGCTGCTCACACACATTCACATACCTGAACACAATAAATACCCCCTTCCCCCGAACGCATACACACTGAAACATTCATACGTCGGCACAAGCATAAACGAATAAAGTTAAATGCACCCTCACACAAGTCAATATAATGTCTTTAAAATCATTTTAGCTCTGAAGGAATGTGTTTTTAAAAAAAACAATTCCCAAAGTGATAAGGTCTGCATAGTTTCGTCTCTCACTTTCGGTTAATCTTTTCTCTATTCTTTCATCGTCATCACAGTTCCATCCACCCCCGCCGAGGTTTGTGAGTCCGTTTGTCTGTCTGTACGTCTTGGGTCCATTACGTTGATTGGCTGTGGACGTGAAACTGACGGCTCGTCCAGGCCTAGGGACAGGGAAAATGTGTTGGGAAAAGTAGGGTGGGGGGAGGTAGAGAGAGAGAGACAGACAGACAGACAGACAGACAGACAGACAGACAGACAGACAGACAGACAGACAGACAGAGACAGATACAAAGGCAAAGACTGTGAGATAGAGAGATAGAGACAGAGAGAGACACAGGCAGACCGGGAGGGATGGAGGGAGGTGAGAGAGAAAAAGAGAGAGAAGGACAGAGTGGTCGTGGAAATCAGGGGCTTGTATGTATTAAAATTTGAATTAAGAGAAAGAAATGAGGAAAGAGGGCAAGAGAAACACTAACAACGGCAGCAAAGACATCAGCAACAGCAACGAAGAATGGGTTGGTAACAATAAATTAGGAAATGGTGGTTTCAGTCTGCTACATACAACATTGGCGCACCTAAATAGGCCTTAGAGTTTTTAAATAGAAAAATGCACGAGGCGTCAAACGATTAGCATGAAGGGTTCTAGAAGGCAGCATTCATATACAACCAATATTCCTATCATTAGGAACATACTTGCTTTCTACATTCTACGTACAAAAAGAAGTAGACTACTATAATATAAGTATAGTCAATATAATATTATAGGCTTCCATACTCTCTCTCTCTCTCTCTCTCTCTCTCTCTCT